CACACACACACACACACACACACACACACACACACACACACACACACACAGGTAAATGAACGGCCAGTCTCTTCCCATGAGGTTGTGAGAGAGGTCAGAGCTGTAGATTAATAATGTGAGAGGTTTAATTAGTGTTTAGACCATAACGAGTCGTCTTATTCAAACTGCTCCTCCATGTTAGCAGCTGGGACATGGACCAAACTGAAAGCTCAAAGTAGACGTTAAATAAATGTTTCTGAGGTTTCAGCTCGTTCTCATCTCACTGAAGTTTGTTCAAGTGTTTCTGATCAGTTTGGTTTGAATCAGTTATTCGTTGATCGAAAAACAGGCGGAGACGTGATGATTGACAGCTGACTCCTGATTGGACGAGTGTGTGAAGAACGTCTGGTGACGACACGTGACCTGATGTAAACAAGACGGAAAATATCAACAATTTTCGCAAAAAAATTAGAAAGAAGAAAAAACCCAAATGGTAAAAACTGGAGCATCGTCCTTTAAACCTTTTCAGGTTGAGGTTTAAAAAGCGATGAGTCACCATCAGACTGTGTCACACGGAAGCACTGGATGACATCATGTTCGTCCAGCTCAGTCGTCAGGTCGTTGTTGTTCTCACTTTGTTTCTAGTTCAACTTGTTTATGTTGTGGAAACTTGTTCTCTGGAATCAGGAAGCTCAGACTGACTCGGGGACTAAACCCCCCGCGACCACTCGCTCCGGGTGGGGGGCCCCCCCGCCGCCCCGCCCCCAAAACACTGAAAGAACGACTGAAAGACTGAAAGAGGACAAAACCAGAGCGAGGCCTCACTGTCACACTCTGCCTCCAACTACACAACTCTCTTTTCTCTCTGTCGTCAGAGTTTGTCTTTCTGCCGACATTTGAATAATCGTGTGATATCCATCAGTTTGAGCCTGAGACAGAAAAGAGACAAAACACACRCACACACACACACACACACACACACACACACACACACACACACACACACACAGAGCTGCATCTATCTCATTACACAGAGGAAAAAAACCACACAACATGGTTAATGTATTCGTCTTTTCTTTCATCCCTCTCTCCGTGTTCGTCTTTTACTTTCACTCCTCAGAACACAAACAATCACTTCAGGGATCTGAACTTGTACAATTCAAACGCTTCGTCTTTGTGGAGCTGAAACTCAAACTGTGACACACGATCCTGAAAAACTAAAACCTGTTAGAACGTTTATGAAAGTTTACAACTTTTTCTGATAAATGTTTGACTCAACGTGAGTCACAGAACAACTCAAATAAAAAAAAGACAAACTTTTCTTCTTCTACGATTTCGATAATGATGGAAACCTTTATCAGAGTATTTCCTAATATATATTTGATTTGTTCTGTAAAGAAATGTCTAACTTTAATATCAAACTTCAGAGAAAAAGAAAAGTAGCAGAACGGTATCTGTTCTCATCATGTTGAAGAGGTGTGACCACGTGTAGAGACGTTCATGGACCTCAGTCTGGGTAATGAACAACTCTAAAGATATATATTGTGAGTGGTAGTTAATAAATGAAGTGAATGGACACAGTGATACAAAGTGAACGTGTGTGTGTCTGTGTGTGTGTCTGTGTGTTAATGTTGTAAAAACCAATCGGCCATAACTCTGTTGGTCTGAGAGTAAAGGAGCATTCTGCTAAAATACGTCCAAACAAACGTCTCTGTGTGACCAGACTACCTGTTGACAATGTCGTAAAGCAACACACACACACACACACACACACACACACACACACACACACA